ATGTAATGCTTTTTATTTATTTATTGATTGATGTGCATAATATGCATAAGATGAAGATCTTATATATTTTTTTAAATTTTGTTGCTAGAAACAAACAAATTTATTTTGTTGAAGCATAAGTTGTATAATTTGATTGGATCAGATTATATCAAAAAAACTGAATTTAATTTTTAGCACCCACTCACTCAATCACTAATTACTAGATGATTTTGATTTGGATTGAATTGAATTGAATTGGATATGATAGGTGTATTATATATATGTTAATGCATTGTGTGTAATGGTTAGATACGAATGGACTATTACTTTGCTATATATCTAAATTCGACTATACTATGTTTATGATCTACAAATGCTACACTAGCTTTTTCTGTTTTTTCTCTTGGGCCCATGTAGTTGAGTCTTAGATGATGATTGTTATTAATATCTAATGTGTTCAATCAGTAATATTGTTGTTTTCATTATACTTGTCTGATTTTCAATCTATTTTCTTGTCTCTTCTCATCACATCGTTGACACAATATGCTTCTTGCACAATGGAGCATGAAAGTGTACACTTCTGTTTTACAAAATTGATGTTGATGATATGGCTATCTTCCCAATTTCTTGAAAAAGATGGCAATATGGGGCTGAAGGTTGTTGCTGGTTCTGAGATTGCTGCAGCAAGTATATCTTTATGTATCTTGAATTACTAGATCACTTTGTAAGCTATAGCTTCCTCTCCCGTTAGTTAGTGGTTACGCAATATTTTATTGAATAGAATATTTTTATGTGATTCGCTCAGCAATTATTTATTTATTTTTTATTTTATCATTGACTTTAGGTATCATTGATTTTTATTTTCTTTTAATCATTATATGTTGTCATTAGCTTGACTTTATTAGTAAGTAAGAATATTTGCGATGTACTTTATTTGACAGTTGTATTGTGAAGATCTTAATAAATTCGACTATTTTATTGAATAGTATATTTTTATGTGTAGATGACAAGATCACAACTGAGAGCAAGAATAAATCGCAATAAGCGAGTTGCTAATTTGGTTGCGATAGGTGCATTCTATGTTATGCATGTGGTGATTCGTTGGTGGACGATGTCTAGTTTTTATTTGTATCGTTCAATTGAATCAAGAACGTTACGTAGAAATTATTTAATGAGTTAGCATAACAGACGACAAAATATGATAAGGATGGTTTATGAAAGTGATGTTACAAGTGTGGTTAACATAAGAATGAATATACATGCATTTTCAACATTTTGCCATATTCTAGAATTTAAATGAGGATTAAAGAGTAGTAAAAACATGTTAGTCGATGAGCAGGTTGCGATGTTTTTATATATTCTTGCTCATAATACAAAAAATAGGATACTAGTCAATAGATTTCATCGATCTGGGGAAACTATAAGTCGGTATTTCAAGTTAGTCTTGAATGCTGTATGTCGATTACACAAAGATTTCTACAGAACACCAGTGCCGGTGCCAGATAATGAAACGGACGAAAGATAGAAATGGTTTAAGGTTAGTCAAACATATTTTTAGATTAGCAATATTAACTGATAATAAAATTTCTTAAGTAATATTTTCTTTTTTTATGAAGGGTTGCCTAGGAGCATTAGATGGTACATATGTGAAAGTTAAGGTTCCTATTGTTGATAGAAAACCTTATCGAACACGAAAAGGAGAGAATTGTACCAATGTCCTCGGAGTATGTATGAGAGACCTTTTATTCACGTATGTATTAGAGGGATGGGAGGGCTCTGCAGCAGACAATAGAGTTCTACGATATGCAATTAGTAGACCTAATGGTCTTAAAATAACTCAGGGTATGTGATCTTTTTAAACAATATACATATATAGAATTGTATATTAATTAACATAGATGTTATAATTAATTGTAGGAACATACTACTTTTGTGATGCTGGTTATACGAATGGTGAAGGAGTTTTAACCCCTTATCGAGGTCAACGTTACCATCTCAATGAGTGATCTCGTCCACCTATGACTGCCAAGGAGTTATTCAACATGAGACATTCATCGGCAAGGAATATTATAGAAAGGTGTTTTGGATTAATTAAAGCTAGATGGGCTATTTTGCGTGATAACGCATATCATCCCATAGAGTCCATGCCACGGATCATCATTGCTTGTTGTTTGTTACACAATTTTATATGAACAACAATGAGTGAAGACCCTATTGATAATGAAGTCTCAGCAAATCACGCGCAATTTGCAGACGACCATGACAACATTATTTGCATGATTGAGACTTCACAAGAATGGACTACTCGTAGAGACATCTTAGCTAATGAAATATTTAACAATTGGAACGCTAGACGTACCAATAATTAGTTTTCCTTAGAGATAGTCTTATTGCTTGTTTTTTTATACAGTTTTCAATTTCATTTGTCCTCCTGCAAAAGATAGTGTTGCTACAGTACATACTCTGTTACATTTGTACTTTGTGTATGTAAATGTGCTATTATAATAATGCTAAATTTGTTTAGTAATTTGTGTATATAAATGTGTTTATTATGTTTATATATTTTTATATAAATATGGCAAATTCAAATGTAGTAAGAAATATCGGAAGAAGCAAACATACATGGACAAATTAGGAAGATACTAAGTTGATTGATGCATTGATGGATTTACATGCATCTGGGAAGTATGCGGGTGCTGACAACGGTTTTAAACCGGGCTATTTAAATGGAGTTCAACAATTACTAGATATAAGTCTTCCTAACTCCGGTTTGAAAGCGGAACCACATATAAAATCTAGGATGAAAACATGGAAGACTCACTTTAGTATTGTGTATGATATGGTGCACACGAGTGGGTTTGGTTGGGATGAAGAAAAAAGTTGTGTTATTGCTGAGGAAAGTGTTTGGGACGAATACATCAAGGTATTTTCTAAATACTTAAATATACATATCTTAAATAATATTTATTTTAAATTTATTTATAATTGTTTTGTAGTCTCACAAAGGTGCTGCAAATTTTCGAGGCAAGCCATTCCCGTTCTATGATAAATTGTGTACTATCTTTGGTAAGGATCGAGCAACGGGTAGTCAAGCAACCGATCTTGGAGAAGAAGATCTCATCCAAGAGACCCAAAGAAATTTTCCAAACAATACTGATAACTTTGTTTGTTGAAGAAGTTGATCAGGATATTCGTCGATTTGACAAACCAATCGGTAGTGTTGCAAGCCAACGTAAGAGACGTAAAAGCACAGACGGATTTGAAATATATCGGGAATCATGCAAAGAGATGAAAGAAGTATTAGTTAAATTTGGAGATATTGTTGGTGAATCTCTGAATGTCAATCTCAAAGAAAAGTTAGAAGTTCGTGAACTGTACGAAAAAATTGATGAAGAGATAAGAATTTTACCGGACATTGATATCATACAATGTTTTAAAGCAGCTGATATGATTGAAAAGGATGTGTTGCGAGCACGGGCTTTTCTTACCCTGAATCAAGATGATAAAATTAGCATGATTAAAGCATTTGTAGATGGTTCCATGTGATAATTATTTTATATTTATATAGTTACTTTGCTTATTTAAGATGCCGAAGTATTTTATTTTATTTAATAATTTTTATAGTACTTTATTTAGGATTTTTTGGATTAATAAATTTTGTTTTTATTATTAATTTATATACTTTTAAGTATGATTTTTATTTGTTTAAATATAAATTTTTTTTAAAAAAAAATATTGTGCAATTCTCTGTTTATAGCCACCAAACAAGATATTTGATTCTCTGTTACATTTTTCCATTTGAATTCTCTGTTTTACCAAACAGGGCAATGAATTCTCATTCTCTATTTCATTTCCGTTTATCTGCAATTCCATTCTCTATACCAAACGTCCCCATTTTCTCTTTCCCAGGTCAGATCCATTTGTTTAGAAATACGGTATTTTAGATAGTATAATTATCAAGTTATTATTTTATTACTTTTTATATGAGTAGTGTTCTTGATATTTTAAATATTTTTAACATTATATCTAAATAAAAATATATACAATATGAATATCATTTAATATAAGATAATAAAATTTTATATAATACAAATAAATAAAAATTATATATATTTATTTATAATTAATTTAAAGTTTTTTTTTATTAAAGGAAAATGTTTAAATAAAAAATTTTTGAGTGAATTCCATTTGCAGATTTTAGAAATTTAATTAAATTGATTTATATTTGTTAAGTAATATAAAAATATATTTATATTAAATTTTATATTTTATAAAATGATAAAATATAATATATAATATATATATATAAAGAATCGTATCATAATTTTTAAAATATTGATCTTATATTAATAATTGACAGAAAGTATAAATAAACAACTTTTTTGTCCCAACGAGTATTTTAGTTTAAAATTTAAAAAATAATAATATTTGTATAATAATAATAAAATAATTTTATGATATAGGATTATTTATAAAAATAAAATTATTATTTGAGACAAACAAAATAATAAAATAAAACTATTGCATTAAAACATGAGAGTATTTATAAACAATAAAAATAATTTTATAATAATATGATTATTTATAAAAATAAATTATTATTTGAGACCAACAAAAATAATAAAATAATACTATTGAATTAAAACAAAAGAGTAATTATATTCAATTAATGCCAACTGTAATGTCAATTATCAGCAATTTACAATAGAAAATTATGAAGTCAAAATTGATTAACTGTAGCTAATTTACAAGTACACAAAATAATCCCCCAAGTTAAATAAAATATACTTAAGGGGTGTCCGGTAAGGGATGGCCTGGACTTACTACCTAGTGCGCACTTTCGAGTGGGCGTACATTCAAGTCATATAACTATTTGTATTTAAAAAATAAATATTTTTATTTTTTCCCAAAATTTAAAAAACATTACTTATTTTAATGATAGCAAAATGCTTACCAATCAACAGAAAAAGTATTTGTTATATAATAATATTTTAAAGAAAAATAAATAAATATCTGTCAAGTAAAAGACAAACAAAGCCTATATCGAAGAGCAGTATAAATATACACATGGAAGAAGAAGAAGAGAAGAACTAATTACAATACATTTTATCATATGCAGATTTTTCCTTCAGAGAAATTTATCACCAAGACAATAGTGTCAAGAGATGCCGCTGTTAAAAAAAAAAAAAGTAATTTCCAAAGTAAACCGCTAAACTTACATTGTTGTTGTCGCCGTTGTCGTCTCCGCCGGGGCAATCATCAGAATAACCAATGCTTTTTCCGGTATGGTCTCGTAGGAACCTCTGTCAAATGCAAATAGAAGGTAAGCAACAAAACCATTTAAAAATAAATCTTTTTACATGTTTAAGGAGGGCGTCAATGTAATAACCCGGGGGGGGGGGGGGGGGGGGGGGGGGGGGCTCATGTTCGTTACCTCCAGCTTGGTATATAGAGTTGTAATGAACTTCGCTCCAAAAGCTCAGCCACAGCTCTGCAAGAAAGCGTAGAAAGGGTGGCTGAATAAGTTTTTTCGGTCTGAAACAATGAAAAGCAGAGAGTGTGCAATAACATGCCTTTAGTGGGATTTCCGATTTTTGGAAGGATTTCGATGTAGCCCGAGTCGCGAAAAGAAGTGACCAAACAGATTTTGGCTTCAAACTACAGAGTTCAATAATGGCAGCGACATATTATAATATAATCGTAGGTATGAAACGACGTAGCCGAATTCATGTGTTCATGGCGATGCTAAGACTAATACGGTTATGTAAAATGCGACTTACTCGATCCGCAGCTGCTTGTAGAGTCACGTGATCGCCCCACTCTCCCAATCTATTAGCACAAAGAAAAAGAGTTTAAGTTAAAAACAAAATTACAAATGATAGGGACTGCGAAAGTCGCGAAAAGTGTCGAGCACCATACCGTTTCATCTTCCTCACATAGCGACTGTATTTCATGGGGACATAGCTTTCATATAGCTTTCTGTGGCGTTTCAGCTGCAAAATAGTCCAATGTTTGTGAATCGAGTGGTAATGTTGAGGTTGATTTGTAACGAAAATAACGTAATATGGCAAAAAACTATAGATCGAAACAATTTTGGCAACGATTGAGCTGAATTTCACCTGTTTGCAAACCTTCTTTCTTATGTACTTGTGATGATCGGGATTTTGAAATAGCTGGTCCGCAAGGGCTCGAAACTGAAACGGAACCATAAAAACGATAAATCAGCCAGAGACAGATTATCCTAAACACAAATGCCAGTACTAAGGTTTTAAAACATCAGCTATATGCAGCAATCAGGATAACAATAGCATGACATGAATCATCCAACTTCAAAGAGCGCAGCGCAACAAAATCAAAACTACAAATAGACATAACAATAAGCTCCATCAAGGGAACGCTACAAAATGTGTTGAGAGCATTAAAACCAACCTGGCAATTTCCGTCTCCTTCGATTTGCATTTCAGCTAAGCCATAAATCGACATCCTGACCATATTTAAATGTATGAATAGCCTGCCTAATATGGATAGAAACATTTTTAAAAAAGGCGTAACTATTAACTAAAATAAAAACGGGAGACACAATAGCCACAAAATAGTATATCAGCCTAGCAAACTCCCGTGCATGAATTTCACATTCTTTGATTCATATTTTCTTGCTAAAATTGTAATAGCCACCCGGTTTTGGCGTTTTTGAAATCACAACGCTAATCCTCACTAACGATGCTTTCCAATTACCAATAGCTTATTAGATTCGAGAAAGGGAAATCAACAATAATTCATCCTCTTTTTATGATTAGAATTAGTTTTCTTGATTTACTTTAATCTTAGCATCATAAGTATGTTCCCGAACTGTCTTCTAACCAAACGTATAAAACTGATAGAAGCAACGTATGCACGTAAAAGTTTGGAGAAGAAAGATAACCTCTCGGCTAGCCTCTCATGGTCTAAGGTTGCATGATTTGGATCCGGTATATCCCCAATAACCCGAGGGGTGTGCTGCAAATTTCACTAACCAGTAAGCTTGCATAATAATGAACCGAAAAATTTTGAGCTTCAAATTACATAAAGTTACAGCTAAAGAATCTTAAATTAAGCGGTATAAAACCATTGAATAGATTCTAGAAAGCAATCACTTATTCGAAATGCGAGTGGAAATTAACAACTAACAACAAAAAACCAAATGAAAACTACCCAAAAAGACAATCGAATACGCATGTATTCTCGTACTGCCGTTTATATTCCAATCAACACATTCGTATCGAATTTCCTCAATCAAGAATGATTCCAATCATTGGATTGGAATCTGTTCATTGAAGCTGCAAATAAACTAGCAATTCATCTCAAGCTTCCCATTTTGAAATCAAAGTTCCAAAAGAAAGAAAGAATTCCTAATTAATCACGAATCCATAGAAACCACAAATCAAAGACAGAAACCAATAACAATTACGCTGATCATACACATACCGGGATCGAATCCAAATGAGAAAGCCTTTTGCCAAGCTTCCCATCAAACCTTAATTTCTCATCCTCGGCTAACATTGCGGCAATCGTGTGATCATCCTCTGTATCCTGTGAGCTATTCAAGCTAGTGCTCGAGCTAGAAGCCTCATTCCCATACACATGAGTCATAACAATCTCTTCGAAATAATCGATCGATTAAACCCTAGAAACACAATCGCATTAAAGAAACCTCATAAATCATCCATCACATACACGCGTAATTCATATCGATTGTACACTGAAACAGAACCTAATCCCAAATCAGAAATAATTCGTGAAATATTTAAATCGCGATACGTGGCTGAAATTGAGACGCAAAGCGACAAATAAAAGAACTTGGAAGATTAAAAAACTGGAAGATCCACAAAAGAGCGAGATGATTCTTACCCTAAAATTGGATTATTCCTCTGGTTTTCCTTAAGTTAATCGATAATGGCAACAGTACGAAAGTAGAGGAGAGGAAGAAGGGATCAGATTAGGGTAAGGTAGGTGAGCAAACAAGAAGTGGAGAAGGCGTGTGAGATTGAAGTTGAAGTTGAAGATGCAGGTTCTTGAGGGGAAAGGAAGAATGGATCAAAGTGGGACTGCCTTCCAAGTTTCAACAATTCAATGAATTTCATTTATTAGTATTTTATGTACCTCCTATCCATATCGGCATTTTTATATGTCTGAAATTAATTTATCCTTTTTTCTTACAACAAAAAATAAAAATAAAAATAAAAATAAAAATAAAAAATAAAAATAAAAATAAAAATAATGGAAGATGCATTCGATAAAGAGAATAAAAAAAATAAAATATCTGTAAAATTTATTTGGTATAAAAGAATAGAGACAGTAAAAGACAAATATCTTTTCTTAATTTTTTCTTATTTGTTTGTTTGCATAAAAAAATAATTAAATTTGAGAATAAATAAATTTTTTACTTTTTTTTTTTCTCTTTGAAAGTATAAATAAATAAGGACATCTGGTAGATGTTATAATCACCTATATAAGTATTTATCAATCTTATAAATTTTTATTATAACAAGACTTATTACTCTATTAATAATTACATTTAAGAGGTACATATTATTTTTTTAAGAACTCATTACTTTTAATAAAAATAATTAGAAAAAATTAATTAATTAACTATTACACAAAATTTTAAATTTTAATTTTTTTAAAAGTTTGAATTTATCAATTATTTATTTGTACAAATATAACTTAAATTTATTTTAAAATACCACACAAATCTGCATATTTTTCAATCATATTTTTTATATATATTTATTTCAATATTTATTTTTTTAAGAAAAAAAATTATATTTAATTTCAACTATGACGAATGAAAATAGTAATTTTTTCAACTAATTTTTTTAATAAAATTATAGGCAACAAAAATTCTTTTGGCAATGCATTAATCCAACTTTATTTCAACATTTAAATTTCTAAATACCAATAAACACACAAATTCGAATAATTTAATATTAAAAATAATAATAACTATTATATACTACTTATTAAAATTTATAATAAATTTATAATTTTAAATAAAATTAATATTTTACATGTTATTTTTGACCACTTTTATATTTACAACTAACATTATTTTTTAAAAAATTAAAAAGAAATAAAAGAATTAATATGCAAAAGAAACAATAACAATACCAACGGTGTTAACACTGTAGCAACGTCATCTTATGATGCTAAATTAGGTGCCGATTGGAATAGGCAAACTCCATTTTTGCCAACTCAGTGCCATTGGTTAGAGATGTTCTTATGGAATCATTCACAAAAAAATATTAACAGAATAAACTCTTAATTTTTATATTTTAAAAAATTATACTAATATAATCTGAAAAAAAATATAGCATCTAATTTATTATTGAAAAAAAGTTACCAACAATATGTTTTTATGAATTTTCACTCATTAAAATCTATTTGATTCTTTCAAATTATATTTCTTAATGAATTTTCAATTTAAAAAAAAAATTAATAAATTGGCGGACAAGGGAGTAATTTTAAATATAATTTTGGCGGACAAGGGAGTAATATTTATTCTTTGATAATTTATTTTTTGTGTAATTTCATTTATTATTATTATTTTTCTTCAATTTCATTTTATAAATATTAACTGCACTTTTATTTTATTTTCTTTGGTTGAAATAAAGAATTTAAGATATGAAATAAATCTTTTCTCATTTTTTAAAATTTTATTCTCTCAATGAGCAAAGAAATGAAGAGGAAATATAATAAAAAAAGTTTAATATATATATATATTTATTAATTATATTTATTTTTTTACAATTTAACTTTAATTATTTAATTTGTATTTATTTGCTATTATTTTAATTTTTTTTACTATTATTTAACTTTGACGTGACTCAGTCATCATATTCAATCACTATTTCCTCCTCTGTGCCCTTTCAATATGGCTAGCCAGGTGACCATACTGAACAAGAATGCCGAGGTCGAGAAAGGTTGAATATAATAGTCGATGGGATAGACGTCTTTTGGATTGCCACAGAACTAGAGAATAGGAAAAAGTGTTGAAAGAGCTTCCCAAGCGCCGTAGTAATACCCAAATCTACTTCTCATTGCAACCACCCCACATGTTCACCATGAAAGTGAATACTCCATTGATGCCTTTTCAAGTATGGGAGTAGGCACCATTTTGGAAGGAGCTTTTCCGGCAGCTGTTGAGCAATCTAGCATCACGGATCTTCTAAGCATATCATTTCTTCTGCCCACCCAATAATTGTGCAACTAAGAAACATCATATGCCGCCGGCATCGACAAAGAGGGTGTTGGATATTCGGTTATTCTACAATCGATTATTTTGTGAGTGAAAATATGACGAATCGGTGTATCAAATTAATTAGATTAATTTGAAAGAAATAAATAAATATTATTTATTTATTGTATATGGGGTTTGGTTAATATTTTGGCTATTTTGTCTGTCTCGAGACAAACCAAATTGTACAAACCCAAATTAAACCCAGGTATATGACCTAATCGCAGTATTATTTGGATAAAATATTATCCGTTTGATAGATTTATTATAACCTCAAATGGAATGTTTGAAATTAGAATAAATTGCAATTGTTTCAAACGAAAGGTTTGAAATTATAATAAATTACGATCGTCACAAACAGAAAGTTTGTAATTAGAATCAATTACGACTACTTCAAACGGAAGAATTGAATTTAAAATAAATTACATCGATAATTAAGGTCGTAATTATGATCGTAATTGATCCCCTGCCATTTTGGCCGAGTGGAGACGTCTATATAAAGGGTCTCCCCCTTTCATCCTAATACCAACACCAACAACTCTCTCATCTATTCTAACTTTTCGGAAACCTCCCCAGCTCAGTTTCTTTCTCGTTTTTGTTTGCCGGAGCTCCAACGATTAGATGTGTCACTCTCATTGGAACGGAAACCATTTTATCTTTGGGTTAGAACGCCAGCCACCGAAGGCACTACCGGGGCGTATCTAATTTTCGGAAAGATGATCCATCCTCGACTCGATTTCACAGTAGAGTTTATTCTCGCGATACCCATATATTTCAACAATCGAAAATTAGATATTACTTTGCGAGAATGTCAACCCCTTCCGAAGTCGCTACCGGAGGAGCCGCTGGAACCGCCACCGGAGAAGTCGCCGGAGGAACCGCCGTAGGATTCGCCAGAGCCACCGCCAGAGGAGTCACCGGAACCACCGTTGGATGAGTCACCGGAGCCGCAGTCAAGGTAGTCGCTCCTCCACTTGAGCCAGTTCCATTTATGGGTAGTCCTATATTTTTTGGATTTGCCCTAAGGGGATGTGGGGGCTTTCTATGGTTTGTGGCCGCACCCTCTGCCTCATTCGCGGCCCAAACTGTTGGTCCTGGGCTTGGCCCACGGATGATGCCCTATGTACAAGTTTCACAACGATTCACGGGAGTGGACTTTAAGAGGTGGTAGGAGAAGATGCTCTTCTACCTGACTGCGATTGAGTTTGCCATGTTCGTGTTGCACGATGGCCCAATCACCCTAGAGCCCTGTGCGGACCAGCAGACGCATACGAATTATGCATCGTGGGCACATGAAAACTACATGATACGAAATACTATATTAGGTAGTCTCTCTAACTCTTTTTATAATGTATATTGCAAAATAAAGAGTGCGAAAGGGTTGTGGGATTCCCTTAAGAAAAAATATAAGTCCGAGAATGTCGGGTCTAAAATATTTTTTGTGGCCCGTTTATGGACTATAAAATGATAGATGGCAAGTCTGTCATCGAATAAGTTGAAGAATTTCAACACATTGTTCACTCTGTTATCGACAAGGAGATGCCACTACTAGAAAAGTTCATCATGAGTGTGATGATCGTGAAATTCCCCTTGAGTTGGAGCAACTTCAAGCATGGGTTGAAGCATGAGCTAAAGCAAATGGGGCTTGAAGATTTGATTGTCCGAATCCGGATAGAGAAAGACAACATAAAACAGCACAATGAGAAAAGTGGAGATATTGCTAAAGCCAACTTGGTCGGAGATCCCTCAAAAAAATGTGCACGCCCAACTCAAACGAATAAGGGCAAAGCCAAACAGTCCAAGTTTACAGGTAACTGTTTTAACTGTGGTAAAATAGGACACCGGGTTAAGGACTGCAAGACACCAAAAAAGAAGAAGCCAATTTCCCAACTGGTCGAGACGAGCCACCGGACTGATCTTGATCTCAATAGTGACGACCTTGTCCCTGTTGTGTATGAAAAAAATAATGTGAAAAGTCTGAGAGCTTGGTATATTGACACCGGAGCAACCTACCATATTTGCTCCGACAAAACAAACTTCTCTACCTGTAAGGAGACCGAAGGGAGGAAGTTGCACATGGGAAATCACGCAACTTTTGAGGTCCAAGGCGTAGGGAACGTGGTGCTGAAGATGACCTATGGAAAAGAGCTAACCCTGAAAGATGTCCTGCAGGCGCCAGACATTCGGAAAAATCTCATCTCAAGATCACTACTAGTTATGCATAGTTTTAAACTTGTCTTTGTAGCAGATAAATTTATATTATCGAAAAATGAGATGTTCTTAACTAGGGGTCATCTTACAAATGGGCTGTTCAAATTGAATGTAATGGCCGTGCGCCGAGCACCACCTATTGATAATAAAAATATTGCTTCTTCTTCGTAGTTGATCGAATGTTCTGATTTATGGCATTGTAGATTAGGTCATGTAAACCTAAATGCTATAAAAAGATTAGTAAATATGAATTTACTAAATATAAAAGAGGTGAACACTCAAAACAAATGTGAAGTTTGCGTGGAGGCCAAAATGGCAAAATTACCCTAACCGTCCGTCGAAAGAAAAACTAAGCCATTAGAGTTAATTCACACCGATGTATGTGATTTAAAATTTGTGCAGACTAGAGGTGTAAAGAAATATTTCATTACCTTTATCGATGACTGAACAAAGTATTGCTATATTTACTTATTAAAGGAAAAGAGTGAAGCAATCGAGGCCTTCAAGAATTTCAAAACCAAGGTAGAAAATCAATTTGACTGTAAAATTAAGACAATTCAAAGTGATAGATGTGGCGAATATGTGGCCCTGTTTGAAAAATTATGTAACAAAAGTGGCATAATTCATCAG